CTTCTCCAGCACTAACACTTTTTGACCCCAATCTACCAACTACAGTGTCTGCAGATGCCTCTTCATATGGACTAGGAGCAGTGCTTTTACAAAAATCTGAAGATGGATACCAAAAAGCAGTTGCATATGCCTCCAGGACTATGTCCGAAACTGAAAAGAGATGGGCTCAAATTGAGAAAGAATCTCTAGCAATAGTTTGGGCCTGTGAAAGATTTCAAGACTATCTGATGGGAAATACATTTTCCATTGAAACTGACCATAAACCTCTCATTCCAATATTTTCAACCAAAAATCTAGATGAAATGACACCACGCATACAGCGACTACGACTTCGGATGATGCGCTACTCATATAGCATTCATCACACACCAGGCAAGGACATTGTTGTTGCTGATGCTTTGTCCAGAAGCCCAATTAAGATATCGCATGAGAAAGATCTGGAGAATGAAATCTGTAGTTTTGTTCAACAGATCACTTCATGTCCTCCATTCAAGGATGAAAATATGAAAGAAATCTGGCAATATCAAAATGAAGAGAGAGAGTGCAGAGAAATAAAAGACTATTGTGAAAAGGGCTGGCCTACAAAGAATGAGCTTTCTGCAGAAGCAAAAGCCTTTTGGTGTCTCAGATATGAAATGTCTGTCATAGATGGTCTTCTAATGAGAAATTCCAGGATTTATATTCCTAAGTCCCTCAGATCAAAGGTTCTAAACAGCCTCCATGAAGGTCATCTTGGCATCGAAAAATGTAGAGGCCGTGCCAGATCATCTGTGTGGTGGCCCAGAATCAGTCAAGAAATTGGAGAACTTGTGAGGAACTGCCCAAATTGTATTGAAGAAAGATCTAATCCCCAGCAGCCATTAATTGTTTCTGATTTCCCAAGCAGGCCATGGGAGAAAGTGGGAATCGACCATTTTTACTTAAAGGGCAAATACTATCTTCTAATTGCAGACTATTACTCTAGGTTCCCAGAGTTGGCATTGCTGGAGGATCAAACAACACATTCAACAATTCTGCATTGCAAGTCAATTTTTGCTCGCCATGGAATACCCGAAGAGGTTAGATCAGATAACGGACCACAGTTTGGCTTAGAATTCAAAAAGTTTGCAAAAGAATACGGTTTCCACCACATAACATCTAGTCCCAGATTTCCTCAAAGCAATGGCTTCATCGAATCGATGGTGAAGAATATCAAAAACCAATTGAAGAAAGGAAGAGATCCATATCTTTCTCTTCTTGGAAACCGCTCCTTTGGAAAATGGGTACAGCCCTGCTGAACTATGCATGAACAGGAAACTCAGAACAACTGTGCCGACATCACCAGTTCAACTCCAGTCAAGAATACCTGATCTTGAAAATCTAGAAATGAGAGAAAAAGATCAACGGCACAAAAAGAAAACCCATTTTGATATACACCATCGTGCAAGAGAATTGCCCCATCTGGATAAAGGAACTAGAGTATGGGTGAAAGACTTGAGAGTTCCCGGTGTGGTACTTGAAGACGCTGGAAGTCCAAGATCTTATATAGTCAACTCTCCAAAAGGAATTTTAAGAAGAAATAGATTCCACCTACTACCAAACCCACAGGGTGAAAAGATTGACATGGAAGATGAAGAGATGGAGTCTCCTGAGATGAGTCAGTGCTTCACATCTACTGGGGACAACACTACTTGTGACAGTGAACCGAGGACATTCCAGAGATCACCGGAACCAGTAAAGACCAGGAGTGGACGCGTGGTAAAGCCGCCAGACAGGCTAAACCTCTAGAGAAAAGGGGGAGATGTGTTGAGAGTACGTTACGATCATCATCACATTGACTGTTGTTGTTTACCTTAGGCTGGTGAAAGTTCCGCCATAGCTGTAATTGTTCTAAGTTTTAAATATTACCTTGTAAATAGATAAATAAATAAGATTAAAGATATAATCCTTAAGGTAAGAGTATCTTCTTATTTATAACAAGGCAATACACAATACACAATCGGCCCTCCCCATTATTATAAATCTCTTCTAGACTGTGGTTGTACAGCTCAGATAGTTGGAGATTTATGCTCCAGAAACCCAGGCAACCTCTTTTTTTTTCTTGGGATAATCTTATTTTGTAATTTATTTTTCCCTCCCACACACATATGTGTGAGAGAAAAAATATTGACAAAATATGTAGTACAAATGCATGAATATATGCAGATTCAATCATATACTATGGAGGGAAGGAAACAAGTGCAAAAGAGACAAGAAATTTAAAATGGGTTGCCGGGATTAGTACAAAAATTGGTTATAGATATCTGAAAATTATATATTTCTATTGATGCTGTGAAGTTGGTTGAATACGATTGCTTCCAACACTAATCTTTGGCGTGGGGTTAGTTAATTATTATAATGGGTTTTTTCATTGTTAAAATTGAAAGAGTTTCCATAGTTGCAGAAGTATACTGAAATATTAATGCCTGGGAATCTCTGTTTTTAACTTTCTGCGGAGAGTTTAGATTTTCAGATTCCTACCTGTACATAGCATCACATTGATCGCAGGAGACCGAGTAGACCACGAGGTATTTAATTAAGGTAAATGGTGAACTGGGTTTAGAGATTCTTCTTAACTAGACTCCCATAGGTGTCGCTTGGCTTTTACTAAGGCCACTGCTCATCGTGATCAGTCAGTACCTATTACTCATTCAAAGATGGCAAGGAAAGGCCACTGCCGTTCGCTCATGAGGCTGAGGCCATGAAATCAAAAATGTCTTTATTGAAATATAAATGGTTTTAAAAAATCAAAAAGGTGAATAAAAATAAAATATTAATAAAATAAAATATTCATATTAAAAAAGAATATTACTGTTAATCGCTTAAAATAAAAACAAAAAATAACAATTCAATTCAAAACAATTCTTATTAAAGCGTGTACCATATTCTTACTAAAATGAAAATGTTAGTAATAAAGTTTATAGTTGTTAATAGTGTTTGAAAAGTTATTAATGTGCAAAATATTGCCATTAAAAAGTATAATATCTTAAAGTGAAAAACCTATATTGAATATAATTACTTATTACCATAAAAATAACCAAAATAAGTAATTCGCCTGTTGAGTAATATTTACCACAAAACAGCATGAACAATTATTCTATTTTAAAAATCTTACGCAATTTTTCTTAAAAATAATAACTTTGAAAATTATCATATATTTCTTGTTTTTAACACTGGAAACAGTATTTATTTTATTTGTAACCTACTTTTAATTTCGGAAGCATTCCTTATTTTTGTATAAAACCCTTTGAATGAAACTTTAAAAATAAAATTATAATTATTTTTGGACCAAAATCTGAATACGACTATTTAACTTTATCATCATCAACCTTACAAAAAATTAGGGGTGTTAGTGTTTTCAGTGAATTTTGCCATCCGAAGCTATTTCATTGGAATCATTATTTAATAAACATGAGTGACTTTGGGTTTGATGCAAATTTCGACGATAAAGTAGAAAACGTCACTGATGATCCAGCAGCAGATTTTTTAGCAAGAGAAAAAGAAACACTTGCTGGACTTGAAGATGAATTTGAGGCAATACAAATTCCCTCAAATACAGGTACTTATTTTATTAAAATTAGCACACTATCTTATACAGAAATTAATATACACATAAAATATAATTGGAATTTGATAACTTTGTTCTCGCACTACATAAATTAATTTGAGAAAGTTGAAATATAATTTGATATATATCCCAATATATTTCCATTTGTTAAAGTTTTTTTTGCTTCCTATTCTTTCACAATATTAGCTATCTAAACTTTTCTTAATACTGAATACAAGATTATTAAATATTTCCAGAACAGGAAATCTGCTGTTTGAAATTTTAGTATTTACTTCTCAATGTGTAACTATACTCCAATATGCCATACATTATGTTTCCACTTTTTAAAATTATATAATAATCATAAAAAAATAAAATAATAAATCTAACTGATAAGTTATTTGATCAATTATGAAATCAATTTTTGTGTGTCATATATTTAATTTTTTTTTTTTTTCAAGTAAATAAAATATAAATTGCAAACGATTTTTTTAAATTATAGAAAATGTGGTTTTCAATCTTCTAATCTGATTGATGGCAGTCTTACAGTTACATATGAGACCTAATCCTTCCAAATCACAACATTGCAGCCAATCAGAAAGAAAGAAATTTGCTTAGATATAATAGCTGAAACAAGAATTTATTAATAGGACTATAATTAAATTTTTTGATTTTCTGTTGCGTTATACTTAGTTATTAGTTTATTCTTGATCTTGGTTCTACAGAGAATATGGCCATTTTTTATTTCTTTGAACTGATTTCAATCCAATAAGACAAAATTAGGATAAAAAATTCCCGGAATGCCCCAAATGCGATTTTGGATAAAACATTCCCCAAATGCGATTCCCAACCAGCCAGTCCTGAACATTTATTGAATTGTATCAAATCCTCCAAAAAAAGACCTCTGGGAAAACCCCAGGACTATAATAGAAAAGCTGATATAATGGAACCTAATGGAGATTGTTTAAACAACTTGAGGAATAAGCAACAATCTATAGTTAAATATATAGTTATTAAAAAATTCAGCCTACAAGATAGGGGTATTATATATTACAAACAATGAGAGAAACCAAAAACAAAGTCATAAGAACACAAATCCAAATAAATTGTGTGTGAAGTGTTTCTGTATTGAAGGCTGAATTCTGAGTTTTTTTGCTTATCCCTAGTACATGTGGTAAGGCCATGATAATCATAGTGGGTAAGAGACTGCTGTTGTTGTTGTTTCTTATCCCCTTGTGTAAAGATTACACAAATTCCTTAAGTTCATGCTCCTCGAGCTGTTTTATGATGAGCAGCGGCCTTTCCCAAAGGTCCTGTTTAGTGCATCTAATAGTGACTGCTTTTGCTCTTAAGTGCACAACATTGTTACACAGGCCTTAGTGTTACCCTCAGTACCCAATCTCTTGGTCTGCAGGGCGTCAAGCTGGGCCTATATCAACTTGTGTCATTTTCCTTCTTTCCTCACCTTGTAGATGGGGGAATCTGGAAGTTGGCACTACAAGCTTGTTCTCTACCTAGTAAATTTACCTACATCACCAACACAACTCTACCACCAACATGAATACAAAGAATTTTCTTGTACTGTAGAAACCTCCCTGTAAAGGACAACACCTAATTGTAGAGCCAAAGTGTTCTTTAGGGAGAGGTATCCACACCACACACAAAAACCTTTATTAAGACACACTGGTCTTACAGAGGATTCTCCTTGGGGTTACAAGACGGAGAAACCTATGAAAGTGGGAAATATACAAAGGGGTAAAAATGGAGATGGATTATATACACATGGTAAATATATACAGATTATTATTTGAATGATCCTATGGAAAGTAAGAATAGGGAGAGGTATCCTCTTACTGGAGAGTTGCTAAATTGTAAAAATGGTAATTTTGCAAATGAAAACTGTCGTTTGTAGAGAGGTGTCTTCTAGAATTAGTGTCCTCTCATGGAGGTTCTACTATATTCGTATTACAGCCTGTTAAATGACGATATTGTCCGAAAGCTCGTACTTCTTCAATAAAGAAACTTGTCATTTTTACCTTTGGTTCTTTTTCTTAGCAATTGTATCATTGATTCCTTCTATTTTAATGTTCTATCATAATTATATGTTTCTACTCATAGAAATCGCTTCTCAGCCTTTTGACTAAGATCAAAGTGTAATAGAAATTTGTCAATAACAAAAACATTATTTTAAAAGAAAATAAGACCTAATCCAAATAATTTATTAGTGTGTAAAAAAAGATGGAGATGCTGGTTAGCACACTAATAAATTATTTGGATTAAGTCTTATTTCCTTTATTATAATCTATAATCCAAATTGTGCTTTATCATTATTTTGTTTTAATATATGAGATAATTTTTCACACTTCCACTTAATAAGAATTATGCTGGGGGGTCGGTGGAAGGATGGCCTAAACCATTGGTTTTCAACCGCTACGACCCGGGTTTGATTCCCACATTGGACACTTTTTTTCTGCTTAAAAAAAAAATTGCCCCAATGGTCCCCGATTATTGCAAAAGTCCAACCCAACCAATGAGTGCAAGTAACCAAACGGGGCTATGACACATTTGTAAGTGCAAAATTGAACTGCTTTTCACATGTGTAGACATGTGGTGCACTTACAGTAAAAGCAGTCGTCAAATCTATAACCACCATGATTATCATGGCCTGTACCACGTGTACTAGGGATAAACAAAAAAATGTCTACACATGTGAAAAGCAGTTCAACTTTGCACTTACAAATGTGCTAGAGCCCCGTTTGGTTACTTGCACTTGTTGGTGGGGTTGGACTTTTGCAAGAATTGGGGGGCTGAGAAATACTGAATGAATTTATTTGGATTTGGTCATATTTTGAGTTTCTATTCTATATTGTACCTTATCAATGAGAAACCAGATAAGTTGAGCCATTCCACAGGCTTCAATTTTACTTAAAGGTTTCTCAATTTGATACACCAGGAAGTTTCCAACTTGTGATAAAATCCTTATCACAGTCAACACAAGAGTAACTAATGATTTGCACCAAAGCTTCTAACCCACTTTACATATTAGTCAGTCACCTATGTTACAAATTACCAACACTCTTCTTCTTTCTTATCTCCACTCGATCATATTAAGGTATCAAACTTGTAAAGTTTGAGACTTTTGATGGTGTCTGCCGGGGAAGAGTAGAGCTCATCAATGGATGAGTCAATACAGTCAATAATGTGTTTTAGTTGCAGGTTGAGAATTGCACTATGTACATAGTGGGAAAACCTTGCAACCATTCTGGAAAGTCATTGTCCATAGATGACCAGACTTAAGTCTGGAAATCAAAGACTGTTGTTCTCTTGGGAGGACAGAACTGGTGCTTGTCCCTCCTGCTCTGTACCAGTCATGTGCAGCATCAGATTTCCATTCCTGCAGGCATTGGGTTTTGATGGTACGAGGAGGTCTCTTTTGTCTAGTTGGGTGGTAGATTCTCTGGTTTCAGGTAGGCCAAGAGCTCCAGCCTTTGCCAGAGAGTCTGCCAGCTCATTACCAGGAATTCCAACATGAGCTGGAAGCCATTGCACTGTGACTGAGCTGTTGGCTGGGAGTCTGTTTACCAACACTAAAGATAATAAAGACATTGTGTAACTGAACACTGTTGAACACCCTCTATTGGAATATGTTTAACAAAAATCTTGGCCAAAAAGTCAACCTTACATTGACTCTTGGTTCCTCAATGTGGTGTCAACTCAATAACCAAACAAGGTGGTCATAGGGACTTCTTGATAAAGATCAAGGAAAAGGTATTTTAGGCCAATAGTGTACAAGTATGCTGAAATTTTTTGATAGAATACATTTACACAATCTTTAATTCTTATTAAGGTCTTTTAACCAATCTAGATTTGAATGGGGTAATGCAAAAATCTTTGTCAAAGCCATTTTTTCTTGTTACCATGCTCATTCTTAGATTTATAAATCAATTGTACTAGGTGTGGAATATCTCTTTACCAGAACCATTTTGATTATGCCTATTTGTTTTCAATTTCTGCCGGCATTTTTGGAAAGATATTGTAAAGTTTTTATGAGGAACATGCACTCTGCTACCATGTTGACATGACTCTTGTTTGTTGTAATATAAATAAGGATTGAAGATTGTTTGGTGTAACTTGCAGGGCATATGCCGCATATGGCTAGTGGAGAATAGGAATCTTTTTTTTTAAACCCATGCAAAAACCTTCAGTCTGTAACGCGTCATCCAGTGTCTGCGTGTACCAATGGACACTGTTTACAGTGGTCTGTCCGCAAGATGTCCATTTCTTCGTCTACTTTTGACGCAGAACCACAGATGTCTCAGTCACCAATGGTGCGATGAAAGAAGGATGTGGCCAGCAGAATGGAATGAAATTGTCTTTACTAAAAGGTTTTTTTAGATTACAAGACAGAAATTGTCTTCTTCTTTCTTAGCTCCACATAATCATATTAGGGTGTCAAGCTTGAGACTTTTGATGGTGTCTGCTGGGGATGAGTAGAGCTCATCAATGGATGAGTCAATACAGTCAATAATGTGTTTTGGGGTTGCAGGTTGAGAATTACACTTAGTACATAATGTGAAAACCTTGCAACCATTCTGGAAAGTCATTATCCGTAGATGACCAGACTTAAGTCTGAAAATCAAAGACTGTTGTTCTCTTAGGAAGACAGAACACAGAAATTGTGGAGAACAGGAACAAGAAAAATAGCTCAGATTATAAATTATTTATTATTTAGTTGACACAGAATCAAATAATCATGTTCCCAGGAACAGAATCCCTATATAAATAATGTGAAAGTTTTGATGTGTATCTTTTTCATACCAGGAAGTTCTCAGTATTGTTATCAGACTGTTGGCTGAAATGTCAACACATATTGGTCTTGATTGTTATCTCATCCTAATTGCTACCCCTCCCCTCTCTTTATTTTTTTCCAGTATCCTGTTCTTGTTTATTGCAGCAACAAGATTTACAAAATTGTTATAAGCTCTATTCCATTCCTGCTCCTATATTACCCTCTGTATGTGTATTTTGTCATTTGTTTGGTAAAAATTGTTTATTTTTTTGGTGGAACCTGGATGACACCATGTTATCTTGTGTACATACCAGGTTATGTTTATATAGCCTGTCTTCCAGGAAGTGAGTGACAGTTCTGTAACTCTTAGTTCTTAAAATTCTTATCTTTCCCTTTGGAGCTCAGAAATATTGTCTATATAGATAGGGCAGTGGTACAGCTTACTCCATTCTGGCGAGTGCAAAACGCGTTCGTGGATGACTTTTCTTGAAATATCAAGAGAGTGAGTTGGCCAAATATCAGGGAACAGGTTAAATCAATGTTTAGTTGATTTCTGTTCCACTAGATGGTGATCTGCCATCTAAAAAGCTCATGTGCTTTGGTCAGGATATGCCTTCATTATTTTTAATATATAAAGTGTGTGTGGAAAACACAGATTGTTTAATAATTTATTGAATATTTTACTCCCAAGTTAATTTTGGAACCAGAATTGATTTTTTAAAGCAAGTGTGAGGCCATTTTCTTTCAACAGTATAATCCTCCTCAAATGTTTTTTTGAGTTGCCCACACTAATGATGTTAATTGAGTTACTATTTGATAGCTCGCCAGGTACACTTCAACCTCTCATGACCATTACTCTTGTCTAAAAGTAACAGTTGTTATGACTGCTAGAGTAGTCAACTTTATTTTTATGTAAATATATTTGTAACTTAAAAACTAAGAGAAAGAAGTATGTAAATTTGTTTTAATGTATAAATTAGTATGTAATTCTTTGAATGTATAAATTGACCGTGTTTTTCAATAAAAAAAGAGTTCTGGCTAAGTTTTTGGACGGTTGATAGTCGTTCTTAGAGCCACTTCCTTGGAGTTGCCGAGCTGGTCAAGTAGCTGGACACTAGGTAGTCTCTCAAGGTGACAGCATCTATATTGAGAACCCTCAATAACAGTTTTGGTAAAATGGATGGTGAAGGATGGGTTTAAACTTTTTAAGTTTCGACAGCCATGACCCAGGATCAAATCCTGCACATTTGCACACTTTCTGAAAAAAAAAAAAAGCTTGTCTTCAATTCTTGCAAAAGTTCAACCCTACCAGTGAATACAAGTAACCGAACATAGCTTTGGCACACTTATAAATTCAAAAGTTAACTGTTTTCTCCATGTATAGACATCTGATCCTACTCCCTGATAATCGGGGAGTAGTTAGAATAAATACCGCCACCAACTTTATTTTTATGTAAATTGTAATTTAGGAAATTTTATTCTCTTTAGTGTGAAAAAAAGTCCTTTTTTCAATCGTTGGAAAATGCTGATTTTCTCAAAATGGCATTTAAAATTTTAGGACAATTTTAAAAAATGGAAAGTATATTCTATCTTTGGAGTTCCTTCAAGTCTTTTAGCCTTTTGTAATGAGCCTGTCATGCTTTGTGTTTTAATGTCCATCCATACAGAGTTCAAAACAACAACTACTCACCCGTGCAGGCACGGTCACGCTCCGCCG